TCTTCTTTTTCTAGTTCACTGAGGTATAAAGTTAGGCTGTTTATTTAAGGTCTGTTTTTTATTAATGCCAGTGTTTATTGCTATAAACTTCTGTCTTAGATTGCTTTTGTTGCATTTTGGTATGTTGTGTTTCCATGTGTTTATCTCAAGATACTTTAAAATTTTTCTTTTTATTTCTCTGACCCATTGATTGTTCAGGAGAATACTGTTCAATTTCCACATATTTGTGAATTTTCTAGCTTTCTTACTCATTTCTAATTTTATATCATTATGGTCAGAAAAGATATTTGGTATAATTTCTGTCTTAAGTTTGTTAAGACTCATTTTGTGACCCAGTATGTGGGTCACAAATACTGGAGAATATTCGGTATGTACTTAAGAAGAATGTGTGTTCTGCTGTTAGATGGAATGTTCTCTGTTAGATCCATTTGGTTTAAAGCGTAGTTCAAGTCCAGTGTTTCCTTATTCATACTCTCTCTTTCTGATCTACTCATTGGAAGTAGGGTATTAAAGCCCACTACTATTATTGCATTCCTGTCTATTTCAATTGTTATATACTCTTGATCAGTTGATCCATTTATCATTCTATAATGAATGACCTTTTGTCTCTGTTACAATTTTTGATTTATAGTTTATTTTGTTGGATAAAAGTATAGCCATTCTTGCTCTCTTCTGTTTTACGTTTGCATAGAATTTTTTTTCCATCTCTGCACTTTCAGCCTATGTGTATCCTTAAAGCTGAAGTGAGTTTCTGTAAGCATATGTTTGAGTCTTGTGTTTTTAATATATTTCCCCCTTTGTGTCTTTTGATTGGAGAATTTAATCCATTTACATTCAAAGTGATTACTGATAAAGACTTTAACAACTGCCATCTTGTTAATTGTTTTCTAGTTCCTTTGTTCCTTTCTTCTTGTGCTGTCTTCCTTTGTGATTTGATAGTTTTTCTTAGCAGTATTCTTTGATTCTTTTCTCTTTATCTTTTTGTATCTACTATAGGTTTTTGCTTTGTGGCTACCCTGAGGTTTACATAAAACATTTTATGATTATAACAGTCAACTTGAAGCTAATAATTTGATTCAGTTGCATATGCAAAATCTCTATTCTTTTACACCCCCCTTCAGTTATGTTATAGATGTTATAATCTTTTTATGTTGTGTATTTAACAAATTATTGTAGCTATAGATATTTTTGTCTTTCAACCTTTATACTAGTTAAGTGATTTATATACCATTACAATAGTAGAATCTTCTGAATTTGATTACATACTTCTCTTACTAGTGAGTTTTATACTGTTATATATGTTTTTATGTTACGAATTATTGCCCTTTCATGCTAGCTTGAAGGACTCCCTTTAGCATTTCTTATAAGGCAGTGTGGTAGTGATGAACTCCTTCAGTGTTTGGTTTTTTTTTGGTTTTTTGTTTGTTTGGGAATGTCTTTATGAAGGACAGCTTTGCTGAATATTCTTGGTTGGCAATTTTTTTCTTCAAGCACTTTGACTATATATATGGTAGTCTGGTGCAAGGTTTCTGCTGAGAAATCCGCTGATAGCCTTATGTGGGTCCCATGTATAAGTTTTTTACTCTTGCTTTCAAAATTCTCTCTTTGCCTTTGATTTTTGACAGTTTTATTATAATGTCTCTCAGTGGAGTCCTCTATGGGTTGAATATGTATTGGTACCTATGAACATCACATGCCTGGATGACCATCAATTTCTCTCCCCAGATTTGGAAAGTTTTTAGTCATTATTTATTTAAACAAGCTTTCTACCCCTTTCTCTCCTTCTAGAACTCTCATAATGCAGCCATCATTACCCTTGATGCATAGTTAATGTAGGCTATTTTTCACTTTTTTTCCCTCTGCCCTGATAATTTCAAGTAACCTCTCTTCTAGTTCTCAGATTCTTTCTTCTGCTTGTTCTTGTCTGCTGTTGATATTCTCTGCTGCATTTTTTTTTCATTTTATTCATTGTATTTATCAGCTCCAGTATTCTCTTTGGTTTTGTTGTTGTTGTTGTTGTTGTTGTTGTTGGGTTTTTTTGGTAATTTCTGTCTCTCTTTTGGACTTCTTACTTTGATCATGTATTGTTTTCCTGATTTGTTGAGTAGTCTTTCTGGGTTCTCTTGTAGCTTGCTGAGCTTCCTTAAAACAATTACTTTGAAATCTTTGTCAAGCATTTCATAGATCTGTTTCTTTGTGATCAGTTACTAGAAAATAATTGTGTTCCTTTGGTGGTGTCATGTTTCCTTGATTTTTTTTCACTTTTGTTGTAGCCTTGCATTTATGCCTTCCCGTTTGATGGAATGGTTTTGGTCGGGAAAGACCTTTACCTGTGGGTAAGTGTGAGGGTGCCAGCTGAATAGGCTGTGGCAGTTCTTACTCTGGGGAAGATCCAGGGGTGTAGTCTTTGTGTAGCTCCAACAGCTGAGGTCAGTGTTAGTGAAGATTGCAGGGGTCCTCAATGGCCAAGGCAGCAAGTGTCCATGGGGCTGTTAAGGGCTGTTGGGGACCTTCTGGTCTCTTTTTCTCCCACAGGGAGTTGTTGTGGCCAAGGGGATCTCTCTTGGCACCAGGTTCAGCTCACAGGTGTCCTATTAATCATGGTAGTACTGATGAGTACCCATGGAGTAGCCATGGAGCTGGAGTCTGGAGCTCAGGCACACACAAAGCAGCTGCAGAGCTGGAGTCTGAAGTGTAAACACTTAGAGAGCAACAGTGGTTCTGGAGTCCAGAACATTTGTGGGATTAGGGGGTTGTGGCAGCCCTGGTCATGGGGCAGTGCAGCAGTAGCTCTTTCTTGCTGAGGACAGAGCAATGTCTCCCTCTTCAGGGGCCCTGTGGCAGTGATGGCTTTTGGTGAAAGCTGCTGTTGTCCTCTGCAGAGCAGGCCACTGGAGTTTGTCCTGATGAATACTTACAGGGTCCTCCTTTGTGAAACCTGTCATGGGTGCTATTGTCCTCAGTTGAAGAGCCTGCCTAGGTCCTCCACAGAGCAGACCACACTGGGCACTGCAGTGGTCCTACCACATGGCTGATACTGATAGCCTCTACCCTTCTTTGTTCCTGGCTGTCTCTAGATGTCTCAGCTAAGCCTGTCTCCCTAGTGATCCTTCTGTATGGTTGATCTCCATTTTTTGCTTCATTGTGCTGCTGAAGGATCTCAGTTCTGCATGAGCCTCCTGGGGATATTTTCCTTCACGGATAGCTGTCTATTTCTTATTTTTTGTTGGGGGTATGAAGGCTGATATCTCCTACTGTGCCATCTTTCTAATGCCACCCCTCAGAATACTTTGTCTTGTCACTAATTTGCTTTGCATCTTTGACCTTTTTACTATTTAGCCCATCCTTTATTTTGTTTATCTTAACAGTCATTTGACATTCAAAAACTTAAATAGTGCTTTTATCATAGATCTTTATTTCACAGTAATAGTAGCAGTAGCCTCTGAGTGCTTTAGAGACATTATATTGTTTACTTATCATAGCCACCTTATTGACATAGGTACTATTGTTATCCCTTTTTTACAGACGAAGAAACTAGAGCAGAGAGAGACCATGAGTCGTTTGCCAAACCAAGGTCACATAGCAAATAAGTATGGAACTAAGATATTCAAACCCAGGCAGTATCATTCTAACACTCGTAGTCTTAACCTCTAGGATATGCTTCCTTTTAGGCTCCTGTGGCTTATCTTATTTCTGAAGATATTCCTATTTCTGTTTTCTATGGTATTAGTTCTTCCACTCACTGATTTCGATGCTTAGATTTCATATTGTCTACTTTTCTTAAATGTTTGGTTTTTGGATGTGTGCTTATTTTTTATTTGATCAAGTCTGTCTACAAATACTACAGTGTTTGTATCTAGTGATTATGGGAGGGAGAGTCATGGCTTGCTATTGGGAAGGATATATCAAGCTGAATTTGGATATGGAGATTTCCTATTCATCTTCTTTCTGTCAAGCACTATTCCACTTTTTGAATCACTTGTCTATGTGTATTGCAGATACCTTTGAGGCCCACTTCCTTGCTTGGCAATGGTAGGGCAAGGGGATCCACCTCCCTGGCTGTTCCTAATGCTCATTACCCTGAGGATTGCTGCAGGATTTTCTCTTGCCCCCCTACCCCATAACAACTTTATACTAAACATGGAACATCCTGGAAACTCCTCCCATTCCCCCACCCCCACCCCCACCCCCAACACACACACACATACCATAGTTTGCAGTTTACTTCTGGTTGTAGTTTGGGCTGTGGCTTCTTCCATCTCATTTCTTCTCATTTGGTTTTTTGTCTTTCATTGATGAAATTTCTCATTCGTTAAGGTCATGTTCTTGTTTTAAAGTGCTGTTACAGTTCACCTCCCATGGTTTTAGTGCTATTATAACTTATTCTTTATTTCTGTAATTTTTAGGGTTATAGGATTGGAGGCAATTATGTTGAATGTGCATCCTTCATTTTGATGCTATTTTCTGTCAGTGTTTTTTAATCTTTTGAGTCATTGACTTCTTTGACCATTTGGTAAATTGTATGTACCCTCACTTTTTAAAAATTCAGATGCATAGCTGTCTACCATCTGTACCCCAGGCAGTGGCCAAATTTTGAGCATTACTGGTTTGGTAGAGTTGTTTTTTGGGGGTGGAGGGGGGGACTTTGTTTTTAGTTATATTTAGAGGTATTAGCCTATTTCTTGGAAAATAATGTGTTACTTAGGTTTAAGGAAAATTGTTATAAAAGATGTATTTATGGGCTTCCCTGGTGGCACAGTGGTTGAGAGTTTGCCTGCCGATGCAGGGGACACGGGTTCGTGCCCCGGTCCGGGAAGATCCCACATGCCGCGG